GCAGGAACTCAAGGATATTTCTAAAATTTTTTAGAGGTCTAGCAAAGATCTTAATTTTTGCTCATTTTCACAGCAAAAGTCAATAAGCTATTATTTCATCATCATCAAGGCAAACACTTTGAAGACATGGAAGCATGCCATTCTAAAATTAAGATTTAAGAATTTATTGGGACCAATTATTCTTACATCCCAACATCAACTCTCATTCATACCATTTTTACTCCACTTAAGAATGAAATCAGATGGTATTAAAAAAAAATATGATTGTGAAAATCTCAAGTCTCTCTTAGGGGCTTTATCTCTCAATGTTAAAAGCACCTACTAAACATTTTTATAAGCTAGATGTCTCGAAAGTGTAGAATTTTTTACTCAAGCACCACTTAAATCTAGAACTGTTTCAACAGATTACAGATACCAATACTTTTAAAAGACAAATGATAAGAATAGTGAGTGTGTGTGTGTGTGTGTGTGTGCGCGCGCGCGCACCAACTGAACATTAGACCGTAACATTCTCTCCAAGAACTTCAACCCATAAAAGGCACACACACATTCACAGCTTGGCAATAGCATCCAAATCACACTGGGGATGAATCAAAGCTATCTCTATGCAGGGATCGAAGCGCACAGCTATTCAGCATGCCGAACCATTTCAACTTTCTTGTCTCATCCCCACTTTTTAAGAAATAAACTGCAAGAAGCAGTAATTTAAGAATAATTTTACTATGTAATAAAAGGGTGTAATTTAACTTTTTTTTTTTTAGTGGAAAAATTTTAAGCAGAGAAACTTTTAATAAATGACTTTTAAGGCTAGACACATGCACTTTTATCAATGAGAGACTAACAAATGGGCATCTGATTTCAAGCCTGAGCAGCTTTTTATAAACATACAGACACCATGACTTTAAATTCAGATGCACCTCCATCACCCACTGCTACACAGCCATAGAGAACCAGAAGCCACGTATTTATGCTGGGTTACAACATGTAACACTTTGCGTTTTCTGTAACATTGAAATACTTCAGAGATACCACTTCAGGTGTATTTTCATAAAAACACCACAATTTATTACTCTATCTTCAGTCACTCCTTCAGTCCTTTATTCAAACATTCCTTCAAACAGCTGGCCTTGTATTTATTGCTTCTTAAGCTACCAAATCTCAACTTGTAAAGAGCTCTGTGATGGGGACTTCAATCACAATCCCATCATTGTTATGGCAACAGGAAGCCGACATGTTTCCTCTAGCTGTGGAATATTTCAAATCATTACCAAATAAATTTTGAAGGCAACTTCTGTTTCTTCTACATTTAAACCCATACTACTTCTAGCTACTGGCTTCTCTGTGGAATGGAGGAGGAATCGTGACTGCTTATCCAACACTCCACTTGGAAAGAAAGCTTAGGAGTTTCCCAGTGGGTGCAGGGAAGGAAGCTTAGGAGTTTCCCAGTGGGTGCAGGGAAGGAAGGAACACTCAGCTCTGTTCTTTCCAGCTGAGCTCACCGCAGAACTGTCCTACAGGTAAAACGAAGAGCCCTGGTCTTCACTGTAGCCATGAAACACTCAAATTCATGTCATTA